AAGGTCGGATGGAGCCCGAGATGCCTTGGGATTCAAGGTCTAGCGCGATGACACGCTGAGGGGACATCGCACCGCAGGTAATCCCGTGCCAGTTGCAGAACTCCATGGACACGTTGCTCCATGAAGTTAGAACCCCGGCGGGTGCCGAGAGGCCGGACTTGAAGCACAGGAGGGCCTGTCTATCGCTCTCTGATTCATCGCAGATGCCTAGTAATGGTAGGCTGCAGAAGAAACCCAAGAAGAGGCAGAGGAGCCGACAGAGGCCTGGAAACAACAAAGTTTCCATTACTCTGCTATTGGCCTGGCTGAATGGAAGCTCTCGCTTTGCAAGAGGATGTTTAAGTGTGGTGTGATGGTACAGCTCACTGAACCCACTTTAAATAGAAGGGCGGCAATGCAATTTGATCATTCAGTTCTGACGGAGGAGCAGGTACGCAATACCATAACAGAATGTGTGATGACACTGATGATGCTGGCACACACACGTAACCAAGTGACGTACGATAGAAAAGAAACACCTAGTTTAGGGTAAGCATATGATTGACCGACTACTCGTGCTGTAAGCAAAAAACATGCAGGCCCAGGTCTGCGGGAAATGCACTGGTAGATTAATGAGGCAAGAAGCTTCCTCACAGGAGAGAGGCAGAGAAATGTTTCAAAGGTGAGGATGCAGGTTAATAGTTAGAACAAATATAATCGTTTGGTTGCGGTCCTCTCCAGCCAAACTAATGGTTTCTTCAACTTCAAGTGGGAATATACTATCCCTGGCTAGAAAAACCCTCAGAATACGAATCCAATAGAGTAACTGGGCTCGGACGACTGAGACACAAAAGTAATCTTATGGAAGCAATAGCTACTAGCTACTATAGCTAGCAACTCCGAAAACGATATCCGCATTGAGCCAAACTGTGCCAGCGCCACAATATTTGTCTGAAGTGCAGCCTTCTCTCTATTCTTTGACGGGTATGGTCTGAAGTAGCATAGTCTCGTCTTCGTCTTCGCACATGGTTGGTATGAACGGACGTGTTCCGTCTTTAATTATTCAATATTTATTCGTTATTTTGACTAGTTGAACGCGTGTGGTAGTTGTAGTTCACTGGGTAAGAATGAGATAGGTAGCTAAACTGAGTGCCTTGGTGAGACGAATCCGGTAGATGGAGTAACTCGACTCGGACGACTGAGACTTAATAGACATCTTATGGAAGTAATAGCTTACTAGCTAGCAACTCCGAAAATGAAATCCGCAATGAGCCAAACTGTGCCAGCGCCACAATTTTTGTCTGAAGTGCAGTCTTCTCTCTATTCTTTGACGGATATGGTCTGAAGTAGTATAGTCTTGTCTTCGTCTTCGCACATGGTGGTATGAGCCGCGTTCCCTCTTTAATTATCCACTATTTATTCGTCATCTTGACTAGTCGAACGAGTGTGGTAGCTCACTGGGTAAGAATGAGATAGATAGCAGAGCTGAGTGCGTTGGTGATATCAATCTTGCATGTATAAGTACCCACGCAGGCGGCTTGTCTGGAGGCAGTCATCAGTGATAGAACCACCTACTACTCAAGTACTGATCAACTACTAAGCTGTCCCTTTGCATAGGTACCAAGTGAGAATCAATGGCGGCATATACGGGCTCCCAGCTAGTCATGTCGCACAGGAAGGGACGTCTGTTGAGCTCTCGTTCCTCCTCATCCTCCGTCGGGCGAATAACTGTTACGCCTCGGGTTGCTCAAGTAGACCGAGTCACTCGGGCCGTCCAGCATCCTCCACCCGCTCCAGGTTCACTCGGCTACTTATCTACTCTGCATGCACCCATTCAGTAATTAATTACACACATCTTCTTGCTAACATATATACTCCATGGCATTGCAGTTTCAGATGGACCTCGTCCTGATGGTTCATGGAGCACACTTCAGGTCGGTCTGGCCAACACGACGGACCAGACTCATACGGGTTGTGGTGAACCTCCCTGCGGAGACAAAAAGACCTATTCTTCGAACGGAACTGTCACGTCCGTTGGTGCGTCCCAGGACTCCAAGGCCAAAGAGGATGGCTCAGACACGGCCCAAGAGAAAGAGGAAGCCCAATCACCCTTTTGATCCAGCTACGTGGGAGTTGTGAGGATAATTAACCGAGGGCTGAGACGAGTGAGGCATCTGAGTAACTGAGTTATCATTTGGCTGTAATCTGTTCTCCCTTCCCCTGTTCCCCTGTTCCCCTCTCGAACCCACCCTTCTTCCTCCTCCAGATCCTCAATCTCCTTCCCCAAAAACCTTGTATCTGGATATGAATCAGTGCTTGATAGCAAAGAGGAACGTAACAGAAACTAATGGCGTCTATGCGCTCCCAGCTGGTGCTACTCGTGTCGCAGCAGGGGAAGCGGCTGTGGAGCTATCTTACCTTCCTTAGATTGCAGGAGCACGTGCTGTGTTGTGTTTAGTATAAACTCAATTGGACAGAGTATAAACTCAATTTGCTGAATAAATTTTCCCCAACAGTGTTGTATTTAGTATAGACTCAATTGCACAGACCATGTGCTGAGCGCTTATCGCTTTCTTTTGGTTATAATAAAGCTTTTGTTGTTAGTAATTTGGGCCGGAGTGGAGGTCTTGTGATCTTTTGGAATGAGAAAATAAAGCTTGAAGTTAAAGGGTACTCAAAATATCATATAGATGCGGTCGTTGAAGAGCTGGGTTCTGAAATCTATTGCCGTATCGGACGTCCAGCCCTGGCTCGTGATTGGAGACTTTAACGAGGCCCTTCATCGCCTATGACGGGATTGGTCAGCGAAGCCAGTAGCAGCTTGATGGCTTCAGGGATGCATTGGATATATGTAGCTTGGCTGATCTAGGCTATTCTGGTAGGCCATGGGCATTTGAGAAAAAAGTCGCTGGTGGATCCTTCAGACTGGACAGAGCAGTAGCTGATCCTTCGTGATGTGCTTGCTCAGATCATGTACCGTTTGCGCACGAGGAGGGGTGTGTGTCCTTTTAAATATGAACTTATGTGGTAGATGCACCCCAAACTGAATAAGCCGCGGCGGTGCACTAGGCTCGACCGGCGCGTGTATGGGCGCGGGCCGGACGCATCGGGTGCACCGGGTGCGCGGGGTAGGGCGTGCGTGTAGGTGTGCGTGTGGTGCGTGGGAGTGTCCACGCAGGTGAACACCGCACGGGCGCGTGCGCGGCATAGCCGTTGGCGATCCGGGAGATGCGGTGCGCACGCGGTCCGTTGAGGGCTTGGCGCGTCGTGCGCGCACGCCGAGCGGGCCGGACCGGGTGGCGTAGTGGGCAGGTGCGTGCGGGTCGTGGCCCGGCGTTGTCCAGGTATAAGAGTCGCCGCGGCGATCGTTGTAATGGTGGTGAGTGTGTGCTGAGTTCGAGCTCAGGGAAAGGTGTTCGTGCACCGGAAAATCGCCTCGCTGTGTCCATGTTCTTCTTCCTCCTTCCCTTCTTTCTTCCTTGAGTGAACCACGGCAACAGAGAGAGCACGGAGGCGGGCGGCGAGGGGTTGGCGGTTCTAACAATTGGCATCAGAGCCACGTGAAGCTCAGGGCGCACCGGCGATGTCGATCGTCCCGTACGCCGGTAGAGCGGGCGGATCGCTACCGCAGTCGGTGCCGCTGCTCACCGGCGACAACTACACGGCGTGGTCGATCAAGGTGGAGGCGAATCTTGATGCAGCCTGGCTGTGGGAGGCGGCGGTGGTGCCGGAGGACGCGGCGGTGGCCGTCATCGCGAAGAAGGACAAGCCCGCGCACGCGTACCTGCTCGGTGCACTCGCCGAGGACCTGCTGCTGCAGGTGGCATCGAAGAAGACGGCGGCCGAGGTGTGGGCGAGCTTGAAGGCCAGGTTTGTGGGCGCGGACCGCGTGCGCACGGCGAGGCTCGGCACACTCCGGGGAGAATTTGAGCTCCTACGCATGGCGTAGTCCGAGTCTCTGGACGCGTTCGCTGGGAGGCTCGGTGGCATGGCGGCGCGCTACGCGGCACTGGGCTCAACCCTGGAGGATGCGGCGCTCGTCAAGAAGCTGCTTGACTCGGTGCCGAACCGCCTGTACGCGGCGGTGGCCGGGATCGAGCAGTTCTGTGACGTCGGCACGATGCTGTTTGAGGATGCGTTGGGCCGGCTGAAGGCATTTGACGAGCGGCTGCGGCGACGCGATCAGGCAGGCGGCGAGCGAGTTCACGGCGAGGTGTTGTACACGGCGGCGCAATGGCGGGCGCGGGAGTGGCGTCATGGCGGTGTGCGGGACGACGAGGACGCACGCAGCAAGGTTTCGGGCTTCGGCGGGAACCGGCGCGGCCGCTGCTACAAGTGCGGCGAACGCGGGCATTTCAAACGAGAGTGCCCGCAGCTCAAGAAGACACCGGCGGCGGAGCGGGCACTGCTGGCGGACGGCGATGTGGAGGACGCGGGCTGCTCTGAGCCGCGGCTTAGGGCGTGAGTGTTGGGTGAATAAGCCGCGGCGGTGCACTAGGCTCGAGACCGGCGCGTTTATGGGCGCGGGCCGGACGCGTCGGGTGCACCGGGAGCGCGGGGTAGGGCGTGCGTGTGGTGCGTGGGAGTGTCCACGCAGGTGAACACCGCATGAGCGCGTGCGCGGCATAGCAGTTGGCGATCCGGGGGACGCGGTGTGCATGCGGTCCGTTGAGGGCTTGGCGCGGGGAGCGCGGGAGAGCGCGTCGTGCGCGCGCGCCGAGCGGGCCGGACCGGGTGGCGTAGTGCGCAGGTGCGTGCGGGTCGTGGCCCGGCGTTGTCCAGGTATAAGAGTCGCCGCGGCGATCGTTGTAATGGTGGTGAGTGTGTGCTGAGTTCGAGCTCAGAGAAAGGTGTTCGTGCACCGGAAAATTGCCTCGCCGTGTCCATGTTCTTCTTCCTCCTTCCCTTCTTTCTTCCTTGAGTGAACCATGGCAACAGAGAGAGCACGAAGGCGGGCGGCGAGGGGTTGGCGGTTCTAACAATTGGCATCAGAGCCACGTGAAGCTCAGGGCGCACCGGCGATGTCGATCGTCCCGTACGCCGGCAGAGCGGGCGGATCGCTACCGCAGTCGGTGTCGCTGCTCACCGGCGACAACTACACGGCGTGGTCGATCAAGGTGGAGGCGAATCTTGATGCAGCCTGGCTGTGGGAGGCGGTGGTGGTGCCGGAGGACGCGGCGGTGGCCGTCATCGCGAAGAAGGACAAGCCCGCGCACGCCTACCTGCTCGGTACACTCGCCGAGGACCTGCTGCTGCAGGTGGCGTCGAAGAAGACGGCGGCCGAGGTGTGGGCGAGCTTGAAGGCCAGGTTTGTGGGCGCGCACCGCGTGCGCACGGCGAGGCTCGGCACACTCCGGGGAGAATTTGAGCTCCTACGCATGGCGTAGTCCGAGTCTCTGGACGCGTTCGCTGGGAGGCTCGGTGGCATGGCGGCGCGCTACGCGGCACTGGGCTCAACCCTGGAGGATGCGGCGCTCGTCAAGAAGCTGCTTGACTCGGTGCCGAACCGCCTGTACGCGGCGGTGGCCGGGATCGAGCAGTTCTGCGACGTCGGCACGATGCTGTTTGAGGATGCGTTGGGCCGGCTGAAGGCATTTGACAAGCGGCTGCGGCGACGCGATCAGGCAGGCGGCGAGCGAGTTCACGACGAGGTGTTGTACACGGCGGCGCAATGGCGGGCGCGGGAGCGGCGTCATGGCCGTGTGCGAGACGACGAGGACGCACGCAGCAAGGTTTCGGGCTTCGGCGGGAACCGGCGCGGCCGCTGCTACAAGTGCGGCGAACGCGGGCATTTCAAACGAGAGTGCCCGCAGCTCAAGAAGACACCGGCGGCGGAGCGGGCACTGCTGGCGGACGGCGATGTGGAGGACGCGGGCTGCTCTGAGCCGCGGCTTAGGGCGTGAGTGTTGGGTGAATAAGCCGCGGCGGTGCACTAGGCTCGAGACCGGCGCGTTTATGGGCGCGGGCCGGACGCGTCGGGTGCACCGGGAGCGCGGGGTAGGGCGTGCGTGTGGTGCGTGGGAGTGTCCACGCAGGTGAACACCGCATGAGCGCGTGCGCGGCATAGCAGTTGGCGATCCGGGGGACGCGGTGTGCATGCGGTCCGTTGAGGGCTTGGCGCGGGGAGCGCGGGAGAGCGCGTCGTGCGCGCGCCGAGCGGGCCGGACCGGGTGGCGTAGTGCGCAGGTGCGTGCGGGTCGTGGCCCGGCGTTGTCAATGTATAAGAGTCGCCGCGGCGATCGTTGTAATGGTGGTGAGTGTGTGCTGAGTTCGAGCTCAGAGAAAGGTGTTCGTGCACGGGAAAATCGCCTCACCGTGTCCATGTTCTTCTTCCTCCTTCCCTTCTTTCTTCCTTGAGTGAACCACGGCAACAGAGAGAGCACGGAGGCAGGCGGCGAGGGGTTGGCGGTTCCAACAGAATCAAGATGGAAGAAGAATCCTTCAAGCATGTCAGTCAAGAAGGTGCATGAGAAACTTCTGTCGCTGTCAGGCCTTGCAAACTGGGATCGGCAAACTTTCGAAAGTGTGAGAGCGGAGATTAAATAACTGAATAGAGAGTTGGAGATTATGCGCAATGTTCATGCTCGTGTCGGCCCTATTCATGTCGAGTTCAAGACCAAACAGCGCCTTGTGAAATTATACTAACGGTGGAGACCTTTGGAAGCAAAGATCAAAAGTTGAATGCCTTTCTCATGGTGATAAAAAAGACGTGTTACTTTCATCTTCGGGCCTCTATGCGCAGAAGATTTTTTTTTTTTTTGATAAAATCCCTTGCTAGAGCGAATGGTGGGGTGATTGACAACCAAGTTGAGTTGGAGGTTGTTACAACTCAAATCTATAAGGAGCTATTCACTTCTGAAGGAATGTCGAATATGCAAGGAGTTTAAACTCCATCCCCAATAAAATCACCCTTGAAATGCGTGCCTTCTTGCCAGCTCCTTCATACAGTTGAAGAGGCAAAGATGCTTTGTTTCAAATGTTCCCTACTAAAAACCCGACTGGATGGATTCCCAACACGCTTTTTTCAGAAACAGTGGGATAGATATCTATGGGGATGAGGTGACAAAGGTTGTTCTTCGAATTGTCGAGGGTGAAGAGAGTGCGGAGAGCGTCAATAATACATGCCTGGTCCCTCCCAAGGTAAAGAATCCAATCTTGCTTGCACAATTCCGCCCCATAAGCCTTTGCATTGTCCTTTATAAGATTATTTCTAAAGTGATTGCTAATCAGTTGAAAGAAGTGCTTCCGGAGATTGTTTCAGCTGGTTTCAGGCGATCTCATCACAAATAATATTACTGTTGTGAATGAGTATTTATACTTCATGAAGAGAAACAAAACTTTAATGAACCGTCATTATGCACTAAAATTGGACATGACGAAGACATGAAGACATATTTCTTCCAGACAGAATGGGTATAATTCTGATGAATTTTGTCAAGTCTGTCTAATACTCAATTTTGTTGAATGGGAAGAAGTTTGAGGATTATAAATCGTCGAGAGGTATCCGTCAGGAAGACCCCATATCATCTTACATGTTCTTGTTGCCAGCAGAGGGCTCTTCAGGCTTCCTCAAATCTAGAGATCATTTATCTCAGATTGGTGGAATTCAAGTGGCTCCATCGGTGCCATGCATTAACCACCTTTTATTTGCATACGGTAGCTTGTTGTTTTTCAAAGCAAGCGGTTTAGGTGCGATCACTAGTAGAAAAGAGGGCTTTGGTCCACCCCGGGTTAGCCCATTAGTCCCGGTTCAGTCTAGAACCGGGACTAATGGGGGCATTAGTCCCGGTTCGTGCGCCCAGGGGCCACGTGGGCCATTTGTCCCGGTTCGTCTGGACCTTTTAGTCCCGGTTGGTGCCACGAACCGGGACTAAAGGGTGCGATGCCCATTAGTCCCGGTTCGTGGCACCAACCAGGACTAAAGGGTTGGACCTTTAGTCCCGGTTCGTGCCACCAACTGGTACTAATGGGGTTTGAGGCATTAGTACCGGTTCATGGCACGAACCGGTTCTAAAGGTCCCATTTTCAAACTCCAACCCCCCCCCCCCCATCGCCTTTTCAGTTTTAAAAGAAAATAAAAGAAAATGATGAAAATGTCAAAAAAATAAAAGAAAATAAGTTTCCCATGTGATATGTGGTCTAGTTGTTGGGAAAATTTACAAATATGAATTTCGACTTTATTTGTAAAATCTCTCTAGAATTTAGTAAAATGAGCATAACTTTTGCATACTGACTCGGATGAAAAAGTTTTTTATATGAAAAATCATCTACTCGAAAAGTTACATCCAAATTTAATTGGGGGAACCCCGTTAAACATTTTTAGAATCCTCAAAAACCTAACAGAAAAAAAGTTACGGGGCTTTTAAGATCTAGAGTGGAAAAAATCGAAAAAAATTCAAACTGTGGTCAAACAATGGTCAAACTAATTATTTTAGAATATTAGTGTTACTAAATAATTATTTCAGTTATTTTGAATTTTGGTCAAATCTGGTCAAACTATGGTCAAATTGTGGTCAAACAATGGTCAAACTAATTATTCAAGAAATATTAGTGTTACTAAATAATTATTGTTTTTTAAAACAATAGTTTCAAACTCAAACAGTGAAATGTGTCACTTCATGCTCACGCAAAATTCCTGAGGGTTAATAGGATTAACATCTTACTATTGTCAGCAAAACAACAAAGTGCAGACTTGGAAACGAGGGATAGAACCCGGAAGTTAAGCGTGCTCAGGCTGAGGGAGTGGGAGGATGGGTGACCGTTCGGAAGTTAGATGATTAGGAATGATGAGGGGTGATTAGAGATTAGAGGATAAATTAAGCAGTGATGAGGGGTGGTGATTAGAGATTAGAGGTTAAAATAATTCAGAAATTTGAAAATAAAAAAAATTCAAAAAAGAATTTCAAAAAAAATCATAAAATTTCTTTTAATCCCGGTTGGTGTTACCAACCGGGACTAAAGGTGGAGCTCCACGTGGCCGCGACCTTTAGTCCCTGTTCCAGTTTGAACCGGGACTAAAGGTGGGAGGCATTAGTAACGGCCCTTTAGTCCCGGTTCAAAAACCGGGACTAAAGGGTCTTACCAACCGGGACTGATGCCCCCTTTTCTACTAGTGGTGGTTCGAGTTTCACTCGATGCTTGAACGAGTTTTGTATGATTTTTTTTACCATGTCATATAGATTTGTATATAGTTCAATGTGGTGTCGTACTGGTTTCAAATCCACTCAGATTTGTGTTGTAGCTTGTCTTAAACTATTTGAGAAGTAATCAAAACCTTATAAAAACATCAACAAAACAGAGGGCTGTTGTGATGAACACAAAAGGACTTGAGCACTGAAATTGGACCAAACTGGAGTGGTTTCTTGGGGAAAAAATCTGCACGAATCTGAAAGAAACAAAGATATACGGAGTACATAGTTTTGAGGACATCAACACGCACGCGCACACGCACACCAGGGCAGCACTTGTGAGCTTAATCACTCGTACAAAGTAGTCTCATCCTGCTATGGTCTCACCAAAACGATATTCATCCTATTCTGCACAGCACGGTCACCCCAGTGCCCACCATAGAGCAAAATTGTGCCAGCGGCATGTTTTTGTCTGTAAGTGCAGTCAGTGACGAAGCCAGGAAAAATGAGTGAGGGGCCGAGGGAGGGTCAGCCCACTAAATTACACTATTTTAGCAGCGAAAGAAGTACATTTTTTACCCCTAAATGCAGTCTGAGTGCATGAACAATGGAGGCTACACCAAACATTAGCTTCATCCATCCAAAGCCCTGGAACCACGGTTCAAACCATGCACCATCCAAAGGAAGCACTAGTTTATTCTGCAACAGACCCCACTCTACCTTTTCTCCTTCCACGCTTTTCCTCCTGCATGCGTACTACCCTCCTCTGTCTATCCCGTGCTTTTTTATTTTCTTTTTCCTAGAGCACCAGCCTCTTCTGCAAGCAGCACTGACACACTTGAAGCTATACCCGAACCTAGAGCCTGCAATCCGAGCCTACGTAGCTCTGCGGGGTAGCACGTTGGGGAAATGCGTTGGACATTGCC